AGGCGACGCCCAACGAATATTCAACTTTCGCGATAAATCTTGATACTCGAAAGCCTATATAAACACCACGTGACTCGTATCCTGCCTTCCGAGCAAGCAGTTACGGGTTTGCCCGACAGAGGCGCTCTTTACGTATTATATGAAATTATGCGAGCCTCCCTCATTTCTATTATGTGTTCAAGGGTGAAAACGCAAGGGAGGAGAAACTTAATGCGCCTAAAGCCACCCCTAAAACCCGGCACGTTTACATCGATAAGCGGCGACTGCTCACAGCGTCGCGACGTCACTTCAGAGCATATATTAACAGGACCAACGAGCGACATTATTCCGCGACGCGTAACGCGCTCAGCCGACGCGGCCGAATTTTGTAGATTTTGTCTGTACGGTTTTAGATTCGGACAGACTGCACGGAGATTCAACGGGTCTACTACTGGACAAAACACAGTCGAACTGTGGGGGAAGCGACTCTGATATCTTTATACGGGAAGCATCAGTTGCCTGAAAGTTTCATCAAAACGGCGGAAAATTCATTAGCTGTCTGAAAGTTGATAACGGTGAAATATGGCCACGTGGGGTATCTAACTCGTAGCTTTTTTCCTTTTCGGCCGCCATTGGGTCCTGTTAGGCGCGCTCAAGACTTCTTCTTTGGCACGGAAGTAAATTTAACGCTCTGGACCCCTGCGAGCAGCATCCCTTCATCCAAGAATCTGCAGTCCTCCCCCGAGGGTCTACCTTTCCCACGTATTCGGCTGCCTCTCGTGGCTGGCTATGAATATATACACACATGTAGTCGAGTATATATTTATATGGATATACATATGCTCCATCGCGAATCGCCTATACTATATATATATATATATATATATATATATATATATATATATATACGTATAATAGAAACGCCTCTGCGAATATAGTCCTGTTTCCAATAGCAACTTGGACACGAAGTTCGAAATGAGGTCAGAACGAACTATTGAAAATTGTCTGAAATCTGCATCGTTAATGCAAGTTACTGCACTGAACAGAATTCACAGCAAAATACTTGTCCTAAACGTTCTACTTGTTGAGAAATAGTAGGTGCAGTCTTCTCCGGTGAATCTATCTGATTCCCGTGAAATTCGTAAGGATTCGCAGGGTCTTGTGGAATTATGGGAAAATATTACACAGTCCACGGCTATGGGATTTTATATTATCGATAATCGAAAATTACGGCCGCCATTCTGCTTCCTATATATAGCCGTATCTTATGGGGAATATTTTATGTCTCATGCAAGATAGGACTTGGGTTTTAGCATCGATGCAGCCATGTGTGGTTGCACGTGTGCATCTGGGTGCATCTTGGTGCATCGGGCTAGCTCACGTACTCCTTTTACTAGAGATTTCATGATAAGAATATACGTCTAACGATGCTCACAATTTTTCTTATACGATGAAAAAATTAATGGATAATAAATATACACACTGTGTATAGCTCAAACCCTTATCTGTGTCGGGATATAAGGGAGTAAATACAAGCTCGTGGGGCTGCAACATGATAAGAGGCTCGTGCAGTGAAAGTTATCCGAGCGGAAATATTCATTGGCCAGTGTTAACAGAATGTCGCAGCGATGCAATTGTTATTGGGTGGTGAGAGAAAAAAAAAAAAAGATGAAAATCTCGGAATTATTAATGAGCCACTTTACGCGGATATCCGATAATTCCACTTGGTAAAATGAAAAGTTGGACGATTCGGTAATAATGAAATTATTGGAAATTCCTAGGCACTCGAGGAATTATCGAAAAGAGTGGAGATAAGGAATTAAAGCGAAGATAAAAAAATGGCATATATATTTCAGTAATATTTTTAAAAAACTTTTCATAATGTCAAACTTGTGGAAGAGACAGACGGACAGGCTGAGGACATCAACCCTTAAATTTCTTTAATTTCCTGGAACATTCGAGGGTTCAAATGAAATCCTAAAGAAAAAGTGGGTAATAATACAGTAATAAGACGTAAAAGAATTGAATAAAATAAATAAAAAAATTTTTATCCGACGTTTTTGAAATTACCCTAAGTAGAGGTATCTATGCAAATTGAACTTCCCTATCGCACAGGACACGTGTGCAGTGACAGTGTCTATAGGCCTGTCCTTCAATTATTCATCCCTATTCGCATCGATAGAAGCGATACCATGCATTATTAATGTCCTGATGCAATTTGTCATATCTCAAATAAGGTTATGGCCGTCGACCTTGAAAATCTAATAAATGGCTATAGCTATGCCTGCACCTAGTGATACGTCGTACAAATACATATGTTATCCATCGGGCGTGTCCGCAAAATAATTGGCGAGTCGTGTCGCCATGCCGGTTTCCCCTTTACTGTACCAACAGACATGCGGCATAGGTGCCATCCGTGGCACACGTGTATATATGACGATGCGCGGACCGTTTCAAAGCCGCAAAGCTGTGGTCGATACGTTTGATCTGTGCGGCGGGATCCACCCGTAAACTGCAGCCAGTATCCAACCCCGTGGAATGTCGGTTCATGGAAACATAGCGAAGGGAGGTTTTTCCCAACGGCGGGAATAGGAGTCAACCCCCTCTATGGCATTTTTCTATTTTTGACCAAAGTCTTTGATAGTTTTATTATATCCTTTCCTTCTATCTACCCACGTCTCCCTCTTTGTTTGGGGTGCAAGGGAGAAGGGTGGTGAAGAACGAAGCAGGGTGGTTCGATTCTTTGTTTTACTACTTTTTTTTAATTATTTTATTTAAAGCCGCCGTCCCAGCTTCAGCCATGTTTGTTCTCTTGTGATATTCAGGTTGTTGGTCCCTGTGGGAATTTACGGAGACAGTTTTGTGCATCTTTTCGTATTTTTTTTTAAGATAAATTTGACAAATTTTACTCTCTGCGATTTTCCCTTTTCATCTCTCTCGTCGCAGTAGAATCTCTTCCTTTCTTGTATCGCTCTACTTTTTCCATTGGTCCATCGCACTCGTAGGAGATTTCTCAATTTTTGAAATTGAATTTTCTCCCCATGAAATACGCATGCGCCCCGAAGTCTTTTTATTTGGAAAAGCACACTCGTGTCGTTGGTTATAGATTTTCGAAATCATTTACTTCCACGACGCGAAGCTTCTCGACAAATTTCCAAATTTCCAAAAATGTAAATAAGAATGATCCTCAGGACGGTTGATCTTTGCTTTTGCCCAGCAAAGTACCAAAGTACTTCCTTCCAGTCGCGTTCCTCCCTTTACGAGGGTCGAAAGGCATTTATCCTGAGAAACCCAGGAAAATCCCAAGGTGGTCCCATCTCCTCGATGCGACGTCAAGACCTTAGCCATCGGTTCTACATAGTTTGACAGCAAATTGGCTGCAATGATTGCCGCCGACGCCTCCCGACGCCTCCCGACGCCTCCAGACGCAACGTTTCCCAAAGTTGAGCAGTTAAGGGTGCCGAGGGTGAAAGCGCGTCTGTAGCTCGTAGCTCGTTTAACCGCATCCCCGTAGGACAAAGTTCCTAACCTCAAATGCACATACATATATGTATATACAAAGGTACATGTACATAGCCAGGTCAGGCTGGGTCACGTAAGAGCCCAGAGACTTCTTTTCCCACCGAGAATGTCGCCTTGAACAAGAGTCTCCGCACGCAAGCAAAATACTCGATTGAAGATTTTCAGTGCGATTTGAAAATTCCCGCGAAAGTATTCTCCAGGAAACGCTCTATGAAGATGCTCTTTGAATTCCAGGGACACCAACTTCCCTTAAGCTCCCATGTATTGCCACCTGTCAAGCAACACGTCGACGAGCTCCTGGAAGGATGCCAAACGCAAGGAAACAAATGGCCTCGTCCTGTCTCGAGACTGCATACATTTCCTCGTGCTTCCACCTTGCCCAATTTTTTTTTGTCCCACGTGGTTGCCGCACCTGCACACCAATCTTGCTACGTTTGACATGTGTCCTTTCCAACTGGTAACCAGTCCCTTTGATACAGGCAATCATGGAAAGTACTGGGACAGTGTTATCTGCAAAGGACCAGATTTCGATAGATGTATAGATATATTACGTATGTATCTCTAGACACACGTGATACATATGTGTATATTTATATACGAAAACCGTGAGCCTCTCGAACCCCATTGTTCGGCTTTGCCCAGCATGCATACGTCTATCGAGCACCCTGCTATCAGCCGACAGAGAAACGCAAACGGTTGTTCCTGGTTTCCGGCAACAAGACTTCCGCGCCAAATGTTTCTCGCTGCTGGAGCCGAGACTGGAGGACCTCGAGAGATTCGCCAGACTCCGTGGGTCCATTTTCGTCTTCTAGTGAAAAAGGTGCGACGTGGAGTTACGTCACAGACCAAAATGAAATATTTAAATGTTTGGCAAACGGACAGGCGAATAAGGCAACAAGAGACTGAGTGTGAGATAATACACGTCACTTACAAAGGGAAAATGAAGAAGGATTTCATACAGGAGATCGAGGACTTTCGAATGTTGACCTAACAAATTGGATGCTGTGTAAGGACGCGGTGAGGGACGAACAAAAATTCTTCTCCAATCGTCTGAAGAAATTTTTGTATTTTTTTTACTGGAATACCACGACTTGATAAGAATGGAAATATTTGTCTGCTTTGTGTCCTTCGAGAGAGATTCGAGATTTTGGTCTCTTTTGAAGATCCGCTGGACCTAATGGGACGCAGGACACAAAGTTCCATCGATTTATTCAAAGTTGACACTGAGCTGGGTTCACGTTCTGCTCTTTTGTGAGGAATCCTGTTTCGTAATTTCCTTTGAAGTTGCTGTTTGCTCCGTCTCGAAGCACTCGAGCCCTTCTACGAGATAAAGAAATATTCCCTTGCCAATGTATACCAGCAGAATCTGCTTTCGGGGAAGACAATAAACTCTCCTAAGTTTGATATAATTGAAAGACCATGCAGGTGTGCGTCAGACTTCTTGGTCCTTTCAAAGTCCTAATTACACATTGTCCTAAACGGAACCTTCGGTGTTTCAGCTAGCACGAACCTCGTGGGCAAATTCACTCAGAGCGTCAGGAGAATCGTACAGGATGTCAAGGACGAGGGCACCTCGAGTAAGTAAAGAAAAATTTATTTTATTCCCATAAAAAATAGCCCAAGAATATGCTCTTAATTGTTAATTAAAAAAAGAAAGAATTCAAAGACTCCACAGTATCTGGGCAAAGAATAATCAGAGTACAGTACGCGTATAGCTTAGAGTATATGTGGAGCCTTTACTGATCATTTAGTCGAACGGAAATGCAGCCTGACGAAAACGTATCGGACGTTTGACCGTGTGCCTCAATTATGTTGGGATTAAACTAGAGAAGCAAGTCCAGCGCAATCAGCGGTTTGTCCTACGCCCACGAAATTTCTAGTTTGCCTTGAATCTCCATAACATCGGGCCTGCCGGTTATGCACACGTGAAATATCTTTCGAGACGATAAAGCGCTACTATAATGTTATCTTACGGCTTAGAAATACCTTAAAAATTATTTACATATACATATATGTATACATAAGGAAAGAAGGCGGTTATCTAATGCCAGGATAATTTGACTAGAGGCACTCAAGGGCAAAATAGCGTAGCGTCCGCTGATAAAGTGCAGGGCCGAATATACCCAGAACGTGAAAATTTACAAGGCTCGCCAACATGGCTACCAGTAATTTCGTTAACCTGCTGCATATACGCGTAATGCACGTCCATGTTCCCTATTAAATTTCATGCCACGAGCAGCCAGCAGCTGTTGCAAATACCAAACCGGAGGTTTGTCGCCGGTCGAACTCCTGCAACAGTTTTTACAGGAATATTCATTACGACTCAATTATATTAAACATCGATGCGACGCGCGACATTTCCGATTTTCAATATTTAAATTCGCTATAATTAAACCGGAAGTACCGAGTATCGATTCCCAGGGTGCAACTGGCCAAAGGACAGGTCAACTGGTACATATCGACTCCAGATAGAATAAAACGACCGGTGAGCATGGGGCTTTACTTAATAAAGGAAATTTTACGATGGGGCATCCCCCCCCCGGCCACTTCCCAGTAGGGAGGGGGGTCGATTAATTTATTTACGCAAAGAGCTCATTATGCGAGCATGAAGTTTCAAGTTAATTGAAAATTAATTCGAATTGACTTTTATTATCCAGAGTATGCAGAGGGGTATATGTGATAGAATAAAGAAATTTTATAGGAATTTGTTTTTTTCTAATTCCTTATCACTAACCAGGTGGACAAACCAAGGAAGAGGTCATAGAGACCAACGAGAGGCTTAGAGCAGTGAGGATACGATTGGACGGAAGTTACGACACCGCGAAACGCGCCCTCGTGGGTCTCATGTGCAAATACACGGACAGCAAACAAGTGCGCAACGTCTTTCAACGGTACAACATCCTAAAAGTCATGATCAAGGTAAGAGAGAGAGAGAGAGAGTTTTTCATTTAAAGAAACTCACTGCAGCGCGGCAGAATAATTTAAGTAGATTTGAGTAAATTCCTCGACTCGTCGGACGGACGATTCGAACGTTTCTCGCCGATACTTGAACGTTAACGCTAGCACGCTCGCCTTATTTCCAGGACGTGATAAAACTCGAGACTCAGTACTGGATCCTGGTGGATATTCCGCGTCAGGATAAGCACGAGACGGTGCCGGCTTTCGTTCTCAGAGCTTGCGCCATTATGGAGAAAACGCACAAGAGCGGCGAAGGGGTGAAGACCTCCGCGCGACTTGCCGAGGAAGCGGAAAACAAACGGGAGCGGATCGAAAGACTCGAAAGTACGTTGCACTTACTCTATATATACCTTACCTTAGTATTTACATTGGCTCTACGGTATATACCTATATACTGTTGTATAGTTTATTCAGCTTTTTATGAGATTTTCTCACGCGCGGGTAGCCAGTCTGCGAGTGGATGCTGGGCTTATGCAGACTGTAGATATATTGATGTACTTCAGAGTGGATGGGATTAAGTAGGCAAGTAGATGCTTCTCCCTTCTTTGCTTTCTAGTTCGTGCAATAATTCGACATTAAGATCTCGGATACAGGGTCCAGGATTGAATTAAACAAGTAAACTCTGTTCCCATTATTTCCAGCATCCACCGGGAATTCCGGATGCTGGATACTCGGCTGGATTATCAAAGGACCAACCGATTCCCTTGAGTCGAATTAACGGGTTGAGCCTGTGTAGGACCTATGTGCAATCTTATTCCTTTGTTTTCTGTATCGTCCTATCGATTTCCAATAATCGATTCAATCCGTGCGTAACTATATATATTTATAAGCTTCACATCTGGACCAATATTAAAGTCTCCAAGATTTTTATAAAGCTTCCCCCCCCCCCTCCGCCCTTCTTCAAAACCGTTAAGTATATACTTACCAGACAATACTTTCGATCTTACTCCAAACGAGATCATTGGGGATTATCGATAAAAACTCTATTTAATTCTCACCAATGGGAGCATCTCCGTCATTTTTTTTTTTTTTTTTTTCCAATTCATCTACCCTTCCTTCCTTCACCAATTTTCCGCCAACTCCAAAGCCCCGGGACAAGGTGACGGCAGTATCGATATTTTTTCTTAATCCTTCATGAGATTCGCGCACCCCGTAACCTTTCACCTCGATTTCTCGTCCTCTCCTCGTCCCCCTCCCCCAAGTCGACACAGCATCCACACGATTCCGTCTGACGTTCTCCGGCGCTTTCTACCAGATGAAATAACGTCGATCTAGTGAGCGAGCTTAAACTGACAGCCGGCAAAATAAACCTTAGTAAATATTGACTGGCTCCACTCTGCGTCTTACATTACCACTTACGGTACAGGGAATCAAGTATCAGAGAGGGAAGAGCGAATTCGCTCGAATTTCATCAGGTGTCCAGAATCCGGCGATAAAACTTACCCGTAACAGCCCACGCGATTACTCGAAAAGATTAAGTAATTTAATGATTCTCAGCGGCTGCCTCTGTCGAGTTTACACCCCTTGGTATACGTCCAGGAGTTATCTCGCGTCTGACTTGTTACCTTCCCACGCTACTAGCGATAGGAGAGAACCCACTCAAGTTCCTCGAGGTTATTCGTGTTAAGGATGACAAGATGGACCGGAAGGAAGAACGTACGATCGAGCTTAGACGCTTCTTGGCAACTTTCCAGGCATGAATAATAGATTATTTTCGTGTGTGTCCTCGATCTTGGATGCTGCGATCCGTCTTGTGGGTAGAAGTCGGTATATCCTTGAGTGAGACAACGACCCCTCGAGTTCAAGTGGCATCGTACAGGGTCAATGTGGAAAAGTCGGGTAAACTTTTCACAGTTCACGTATGTGGTACGTATGTGCTCGTACGGTACAGTGATTCTGGGAGTAAAAAAAATTGAAGATGGAAAATAAAAATAAAAGACGTTTCTTTCGAGAGAACAGACTTTCTAGGAATTTGATAAGTTCTTGGCAGACTGCCGTGTGTGTGCCCCCCCTTGCCCCCCTTCCCCCCCGCTTGGATCTAGCTGTCAATTCTCATAAGAATAACTTCACTAGGAGCGAAGCAGCCTGTGGAATACGTGAGTGGACTCACGCCTAACTGATAACTTGACTCAAAATATTTCATGAGAAATTATTTTAAAAAAAAAAAAACAGTATACCTACGTGACTCCTACATACGAGCACGTATGAATGTCCCTTCAAGAAGCAACCGATTCTCCCGTTTTAATGTCCATGAAACATCATTATTTCCCACTAACCTCCTCATTAGGTGGTTTTGCTCCTCTAACCAGGAGCGATTACAACGTAGTGTACCCGTACCAACCTACAGATAATATATCGAACCCCTGAAACACGTGTTTCCGTTGTTCAACCTGCCGATACGGTCATCAGATAAATCCCGAGGATTCCGATTTGGTGAGCCGATTTAAGGGATGAATCGCTCTCACGGAGCAGATATTTCTTATGCTGGACTGCAGAGTGAAATTTATTTTATTTTTTTATTATAAAACCTTGGACTGGGTAATCCCCAAAAACAAAAAGAACGAGGATTTCCGTTGCCTCGTACTCGTTAAAGCGATACTCGATCAAATAAATCGATTCAAGTTCACGGTTCGAGTCACTATTTTTATAGGCGCCATATATGACTTGATCAAATACTCTGAGCTCTGGAACAACAAGTTGGGCCAATGGAAGACACGTTTCTACCCTTCGAGATCCCTTTGCCAATGGATGCCACCTTTAATCTTCTGCCATTGTCCTTTTCTAAATCCCTATGATTAAGGAAATGCCCCAGACTTAGTGCTACCCGTTCTTGAAAAGCCTCTACCTTTCTATATACATATACAACACAGTAACAATATACAATATGTATATACACATTATATATGCAGAAATAAATAACATGCTGGATCGAGAGGATACTTGTATGTGTTCCTAGAGTCTTGTATAATCCATGTATAATACCTACTGTGACTATAGTACATATAGATACAGTGATTGTGAATTAATTATATGCAGTTGATACACGTGTTCAGAGACTATAGAACGTGTAGGTATTACTGTAGAATGCGTGTACAGATGCCGTCAATTATTATGAAATTGGACGTTAAAGAGAGGTTTGCTGTTGTTTGTTAATAACTACGAAAACTTCTCGTTACGGAAGGTCGTGAATAATAATTAAATAATTAAGTGTTAATTGGAAGGAAATTCTGCGCGAGATACGTTTCGTGTCTTGGCTCGTGTTTTCTAAATGGGCCTCAAGTACAAAAGGACTGCGCTTTTTCCTAATTATACGTGGATAGTTGGTACACGTTGCTTCCAGTTGTCTTGCGAAGCAACGAGCAAAAAAGACCTTTTACTGGGGATAATAAAAGTACATTGCTGGTTGGTAGAAGCCTGCGAGATAGCCTGTAAAAGTAGATGGCGTAATACCTTGTTAATAATTGGACGAAAGTGTACAAGGAATAATGAAGTATCACGGGAGATTGCAAAAACGTTTATTATGGATGAAAAATTGGAGTAATTAAGGAAAACCGATAATTACGGTGAATTGAGTTCAGAGCATTTTCTACGAGATTAAAGTTTAACATGATTTTTAAAAGACTTTCAACTTGTGGGAATTCACTGTTCAGTAATTTTATATTAATTTTGAAATTCATACCGGTTCAAGTGCGGACTCTTGAGCTTGGATAATTTTCCATTTTCCCCATGATCCTACCACATGCGTAATAGTGAATATGCGAATTATCGTACGGTGACTGGTTTCCCTCTGATACGATTTCTACGATGTTCTGACCGACGCTTGGCTGACTCGAAATTGTCTTTGCTTTTGAAAGGCCGTGTATATTGACTTTCATTTAGTCTTTGCAAACACGTTACTTCTTCTACGATTTACATTAAGACATTTTCACGATATTTGGACTCCGTCGCGACGCGGTCGTCGCACACGTTCATTCTCTCAATAGTCTTGGCAAAATTAAAGCATTTTTCATTCAACGAGACCGAATTCAGTCGAGTTTTTAAATTCGCACAAATTGAATTTGGACTTTTTTCTACTTGAAATGAGAACGTAATACTTTTTGAAAGGTTTTGAAATTTAAAAAAAGTCAAACTTTTAGCTAATTCACGAAGGAACCTCGAAGCTGGAGTAAATCGTTAAATTGCCAGCTAGGGCGTCGCGACGTCACCATCTTCAGTTGCGCGAAATATACTCATAAAAATCAGGCGTCGTAAAGATTCGGTTGATAATTCAAAACAGAAGCTGCTGCTATTTCTCCAATATTTATCTCCTGTTTTTTTACGACTTTTGCCTCGTTTATTAAAAAAAAAAAAAATCCTACAAACATCAGATTGGATCTTTCGTACGTCAATTTTATGACGGCCGATTGCATTTTATTTGAATTTTCCTTCTACCGCCTCTAATTCACTTTTCCGCACGTGCATGCTCTACTACTACCAGGTACCTGAACTCCTCGTACGAGCCAGAAAATCCACTTTCGCATCTCGTGCAAGCTCAGTCTTATTAGCGATTATCAGCCATGGCGAATGGCAGCTTGCGAACGAGGAATATTGATAAAAAGCCAGACTAATTGGATAAAATGTTCGCCGCGAGAGCCAATACCGTTGGCCGCCTCCAACTTTTCTATTAGGTAGTTCTGTGTGCTGGGCAGGGTCGCAGGGTGGCAGGATGGCAGGGTGGCACGTTGTACATAGACAACACGCGTATCGACAACAAGACTCCCAATCAGCCTAGAAGTTTCGCGCTCGCCTAGAGGCTTTTCAAGCGAACCTACAAATGTATTTGCTTGCGCGCCTGTCCATTTATTAGGGTCAAAGGGCAGAAATACATTTTGATATTTAATCAAGCGATTCGTTGTACAACGTCGAGACGCCTTAATGACAAATTCATATTCAATCATGATAACTTGACTTGGTATCATTTTTTCAAGAATCAGTATCACTTTTACGTATCGCTACGCAACATTTCCTCCTCTTCCGAACAATGGAGCAGTACCATCTGTCTCAGGATGATATATCGTCACTGTCCAAAATCATATTACTGCATCCAAGTTAAGATCATTATTCTTGAAATGTTCTCGGAATATCGGGAAGATGACTGATTGCGATGAGATTTACATAGGCTCCAGGGAAACGAGATGATTTTTGCCGGAGAGATGATAGACAGCTTCGAAATTAATTCCAATCAAGTGTAAAAATCACATGAATTAGTAAAATATATCAGATCGATCATTTAGATCAATCATGTTAAATGTCTGTTGCAGATATGATAACGGCTCAGATCGAGGCAGAAAATACACAGATGACGAATGATCTCTACAGACTGCTCAAAAAATACTCAGGATTAAGGAATCTGATAAGAGACCTCAAAGTAAGTTCCGCCTAGTCGAGGATTTTACGTGTCAGAATTCAAAAGAACGTCCGAGCCCAAAACGAGACACGCTAGAGGAACATTAAAGAAACAGGATCCAGCTACCAGCTGCTTTTCTGCCGCTGACTATTAGCCAGCTGGTAATTCCGGGTCCAATTCACTCTCGAGTAAATCACGTGTCCAGGGAGATGAGCGCGTACGTCGTTTCGTATAACAAGATCGCTGCGCTGCATGCGTTATCTTTCCCTTTTTACGTTATTCGATACCTTTTAGCCGCGACTACTTTGCACTGCTTTTATTCTCTTTAACGGGAAGCACTTGGATTTCTTTTTTTTTTTTTCATACGCAAGACTGACGTATTCAATTACGACTTGAGATTGCCACGCAAAGCCGCCTCTACTTTCGTAAAATTTTGCGCCAATTTTAGAGCCAAAACATCGAAATAACAAACATAACCTCTCACAATTATTCCCAGACCAAACCTGACACGTGTCAAGCGTGGAATCGCGTTCGAGAAAAGTTTGAGGAGTTTCCCCGAAGGTGGTATATGTCACATTTTTTTAGAGGATCACCCCGAGGCAATATCGACGAAGGATTTCTTGGGGCTCCTTTTTCTTATAGATTTTACGCCCTTAGGTCTGCACTGTGAGAGCACGAGGAGAAAGCCAACCTAACCTCAGCCCAGCTGACGAACCCAGGGAATTGATCCATCACGAATCCATCCGCTGCAAGCTCGTCTCACTCTCGAGCCGAAGAACATCAGCCACAGACTTGGGCAAATTTTGAAAGACCTCACCGACCTCTCTGTTGCAGGAGGAGTACAACAGCTCGAAGGTCTACCCGATGTTTCCACGTTACACCATCCTCAAGGACATGATAAAGGACATTATGCATAACCCAGACTACATGGAGGTCTGCCACGAGGTGGACCAAGCATAGCGACCAGACCCCCTCCATCGTTCCCCACGTATGACCTTGTAAGCTCGCCCGAGGCTTGAGCTTGCGCCGTCCACGTGCTGAGAACGACGAAGGGGGTGTCGTTTGTCTCCGTTCTATTGAAAATTTATAAATTTTCCGAAATTCCGCCGAAGATATGAACTACCGTTGTTCCCGGGAAGGGTCGTCGTCGCTTCGTTAGTCTTTAGTCTTTTATTAATTATTCTCACCGATAATTCTCATAGTTGCTCCTAATGGACTCGACTTCGCCGTTTGTAAACGCGACACGATCTCTGGACTTCCACGAAGATCTTTTGGGTCTCAGGTGCTGATCCATATTGTTTTTTTTTAGCATATCGCGGATTCGATTGAATACAGTAACTTTGCGGGAGTATTGTTTTTCGAAATCGTTACCGTTTGTTGTTTCTGATTTTAATCGGAATAGCCGCCTGCACGTCGAGACACAAACTAGCGTTAACGTAATAATCAAACGTCATATGTATTTTGTAGCGCGTGCTCGTAAGTCATACTTTTAAATGAAAAATCGACGATTTCGCAGCGTCTTCATTAAGATACGTGTGCGTGCGCGCGCGCGCCAAAGTTGCCAGTAATAGAGTAATTACGTATCGAACGCGTATGCAGAGAGAAATTTACGATTTTACGCTGAACGTTATTTATCTGCGAGTCTCGTGTCAAATCGTACAGATTTCATTTTTATCGAATTTATTACTTTATCCATAAATATTTTTTTTACGCAAGGCGTTATTCAAGTATATATATGTTGGGACGTCATAACGAGAGAATGCACTGGCATTTGATAATTTACATATCGTGGTAAATACATTCATATATATAATACATATAATAGATACATGAGTATTCTGTTCGATACAATCTGCAAGTAACAAAGTATCGTGAGTTATAAAGTCAATGAGTTTTCATATGGAAATTCGAAGGTTATCAAAAGTGCTATGAGCACTCGCGTGAGGATACCCATGGTAGGTTAATTAAACATAGACATTGAATATTAATCGTGCAATTCAAATTATAAATTCATAATAGTAAAATAGTGAGAAATTTACAAAAAAAAAAAGAAAAAAAATGAAAACGATGCTTCGACGTAACGAGGCGACCAATCAAATTTTTCGGAAGAAAAAGATAAAAGAATTCCAAAAAATAGAGACACCTGTATTTTGTTCTCTTTTTGTGACGTATGTATCCGCGCGCACGTGTATAATATCTGCGAGCGGAGTGTGTGTGCGTGAGCATATGTTATAGTTCGAAATAAAATCCCGAGTACAAATTATTTGGTATGTAGTTGACCGTTCAAATGTATAGATATAGGTATAGCCCACGTGACTGTCCCATGCTAAGAGTGTATTTTGGAAATGCGTCAGCGAAAGGCACAGGTATAGCTTAGAGCTAAGATTACGGCATATAGCAAGTTGCGCAAATGGCCAAAGTATTTCCATAGTATGTTTATACTTAAATTTATGCTTCTTAGTGACCAACCGCAGATCGACTGCATACCAAATAATTGAGACTTGGAATTTTTAATCGAATGGATATTAAGCCTAAGATTATTAAGATATATACCTACCGATAGCATATAAATAGCATATCGAAATGGCTGACAGCCCGAAATCAAAATACAAAATAAACGTTTGTCCAGGACATTAATAATGTGATGCTACTGGTTTTACACCTTGGGCGCCATTTTAATGTCCGGCAACGATTAGTTCACTGTGTCTCCCCCCTCTAACTACCTTAACTGTTCTATGGCATATAAATATATTAAAGAAACTGTCAATAATGACCTACCGCAAGAACCATGGAAAATACCTAATCGAAAGATATATATATATATATATATTTCGTAGAGAGACTCGTTACGGATGGCAATCTCGATACTGTCAATATTGAATAACTAATTGGCAATCGCTGTCGATTCTCAAGATTGACAGGTTGACAGTGAGCTGTATCTGCGAGCGGCTCGACTAGACACTTTTTAAAGTCTTTTCTCAATGTTGGTTGTGAGTGTTTAGCTTCATTCATAACGATGATAAATATTTCGATTAGAATTATTATTGAAATATAGAAATATTACACATAGTCAAAATCGCAAGCAGAGCTACCGTATCGACTACTATTATATTAACGAACAAATAATCCATATCAAAATGTTACTGCGCACGTTTATTTCAAAAGACAAATTGATTTTGCGAATATATCGTAGATTCGTAATTTCGCGAAAAATCAAGAGTCCCAACAGTTTAACCTCCTTCGAGGGAACGGTGGTAACGAAAAAAAAAAAAAAAAAAAAAAAAAAAAAAATAATCAGAGACAAACTTAATAAAGTATTTTGAAAAGAAATGTATTTTTGTTTCGTAACACGTAAATGCTACCTGCGGTATAGTATATTGTAGCTCGCGAAATGGCTATAATAGTGGCGCACTAATATCTTTCTGCGAATTTGTCTACTAAACCGATACTGAGTCCGCGCACCCGCGACGAGTATTTAAGTGTAACGTAGAGAAGGTTCGCGTACGAGAGAATCTACCTATACTCAATGCAATGACCTTGAATTGAAAAAACATAGCCAGTGTGCTCGCCTTTTCGAAAAACTAGGAGAGTGCCAAATAGATTTGAAAGTTTATACGTGGCGTGTGTCTCTGTGTGTACTCGTGCGTTTATGCGTTTTTTGCTGCGCGCTAATTTCTATTATTAAGGACGAACAAGAGTCCTTATTTGAATTTATATCGTACGCATGGTAATTTAAGGGAGCCTCGCAGGCTGGAATGACCTATGGGGGACGATCGAAGGGTGGCGGAAAATTAAGAAAAATTACACAGTGAATATTCCGAAGAATATTGAGAGTATAAATTGACAGTGTCCCGTCATACCGGCGTGCACGGCTGATTACTTAATTACGTATATTGATGTCAGATATGAGAGATCTACCTAATGTGTTTAAAGAGTGTGTATAGGTATGCTGAATAATAGGGTAACGTGCAGTGTAACTATCGTTAAGTATGTGTAGCATGTGCATACTCAATTTTACGTAATATCGCCAAAAGTATTTCGATCGGATCGGAATAGCGTTTCGTAATTCCTGAATTTCTGATTTTTTTTTTTATTGCCAATTAACTAAACCCGGAAATTCTCGAAAAGATCTTGTTTCCGTGAATTCGTTGTATTTTTGCAGAAAAAAAAAAAAAAGAAGAACAAACATACTTTTGGCAAGATATTACGGAATCGAGAGAGATCTCCACAAAAGAGACGCAGCCTTTAATTAAACGTATATAGTAATTAAGGTAATGCTAATCAAGAATCAGGGAAGAGTGAAATGACTCTTTGCGAGGAGTAAAAAAAAAAAGGTTTTTCCTTTTCATCTTTTAATTATCACTCTTCGCCCATATCGGTAAACAAAGATCATATATCTCACGTGTACAACAGTATATGCGTTTTTAATCCCTCGAGTGAAAATCGACCAATCTCTTTGTCTATAATCGTTAAGCATCTCTAACTTGTTCACTCATTGACCTGTCACTCGATTGCGAAATTATAATTAATGTTCTAGTTGCCATTTGTCTAAATATCTCGCTTTCTCTAAGCCTAAGCTGCGCTTGCGCAAGTGGAGCTGTTTTACCAAACAGAATAATCAAGAATGCTCATTACGTAATGAGACACTTACAATTAGTAATTCGGCATTTCGCCATCTCCGGCCCACCGTAAAGTAATAAGCGCGCGAGGACTTTTGGTTAATGAAAAGTACAAGGGCCAACTTTTCATTTGACTTCCTTTGACTCGCCTCTACTTTCCACGTGGGGAATTTGCCGAAAGATTTTATTCACGTGAAAACGATACATTTCGCTGATCCGTTACGTCACTACACACGTACCACTTTATTAGTCCAGCCAGCAGCTTTGTCTACTTGCACTTGAGTCGTGCGATTTAATGAATCTTCAACCGCTTGGAAGTTGGCTAGCGCGTTTACCTCTAGCTCCTGTAGAAACTTGGCCAAATGCAATGTAAAATACCTTGTTGTCAAGTTTGTACGTTCGTTAAGGGCAGACTGGGAAATCCACTGGTTTGCATTGGAAAGTGTATGTATGTACGTACGTACGTATGTACGTACAACTGCCACCTTCTTTCAGCTAGTTCGAATGCTTCGTTATGCTCGAAAGGTTTGGGTTTCATTTTCTGGTTTAATCAAGGAAACAATGGGAACGAACGACACGAGACAATTGCATTGTTTTAAGGGGCGCTGAATAATTTCTGAATCGTATGATTAACGCGGCCATTGCCATTATCTCAGAAACTTCATTCGGATTTCTCAGTTTCACCAGAACGCGTTGATGTCCGAAGAAGCGTTTAATAATAAAAATTAGTTGTTAGTTGACACGCTAGATTAGAAAACAGATGATAACGATTGCTAGGTGTGTTTATAGTGTTGTATTAGCATTTACACCGCGCGTCGATGCGTTTCGTATGATTTCCTCTGGCTGAGGTTAGTGCGTAGGCGATATGCGTTAGACATTAGACCGGACATTATAGATATTAGTCAAAATAAGTTTGACCGAAAGTGTATGCTGCAATAACAATTGGATGTATCGTTCGGATTTTCTTTTGACATGTCTTTGTAATATCGAAAGAGGCATTGCTCGTTTATTGACTGTTACGCTTTGTTAATAAAATATTGCAAAATTTTATATCGAGAGGCACTTCCCACCCTCTTTCTTTCTTTCTCTACTTCTGCACGCCGATCGAGTGTACTACCACTTACCACCCCCTGACCCCCTGAGGCGGCGAAGGGTGGCACGAAAATAGTGCAGTGCCGGCGAACGGCAAATCTTTCGGATTTTTCTGGCTTACCAACGTGAGTCGATAAGGTAGGAATTTCGTGAAACGCATGTTACCTCCTCACGGGAACTCACATTAATCTTCATATGGTACAGATTGATCTCGGAAGATACAGCTGCGTCGTACGTTCCTCCGCAAGAAGATGACGCAGGTGCAGCAGCAGTGACGTAGCAGCGGAAGGGCGGGACTTACTTTGAAACTGAATGGAACCGTAACCGGCCGGCCGGCCGGCACTTCGCGTACGACCGTCGCGTCGCTCGCAACGCCGTCGCGCCAATGAAAAGAGTCCATGAAGGCCGAATAGAATAGAATGACGGGAGACGCGAAAGCGATGGGGAAACAACGGGACAAGTAAGTAACGGCGGAGTGACGAATGTCTCGTTACATCCGCGAAATCTTCGAGCGTGAAGGATGCGAGCGCATCGACTGGTTACTAAAGTGCGAGCCGAGAGTTCTTCCCGTCGAATCAAAGTGGCTAGTTTACAATTAACACGGTACAACCGATGTGCGGAATTCGCGGAATCGCGAAAGATAATAGAATCAGTGAAGTGAATTGAAAATTCCTTTTAACGGAAGGATACGCGAGAGGAAGGAGTCCCACCGAGTCTGCGGCGAGTTGATTTCGGAATAAATAAATAAATAGAAAAAAAGAAAAAAAGGAAAAAAAAGAAAAGGTAAACTTGTTCGGGTGTCTTGCTGTTATGTGTCAAAGTGTGTCGCAATCGGGAAAGCATGCCGTTCGTGATACGCAAGATAGAGCCGCGCTACGTGTGCCGGGGGCACGTGCCCCCGGGGGCGGCTGCTCAGGAATGGCCTGTGGGGGCGGAAATGGAAGCTGTGACACACGGTGCCCTCACAGCATCCCTCAAGCAACTCGCCTCCCTCCTCACCACAGCCGAGGACATATTTGCCGACCTCACCTTGGAACTGACTGCGGTTGCTGACAGAAGTGGACTTCTTCGGCAGAGGCTGGACAAGGTGGAGGAACGTCTGGGGACGATCGATCCTAAGAAGATTCCAGTCCGTAAGTCTCGAAAGTACCGTTTGCCCTCTATCTAGTTTACTGCCCGTCCTCCGTCAATACCCAAATACCTCGTCCAGTCTCTATATGAGAATCTGGCTGCGCGTCTACCGCGAGTGACAGAGCCGCCCGAGTCTCTTAATGACAAACGAGCGCTTCGAGTCTCGCGCCTTGTAATTCGTCGAATGTTGTTGTTTTGACGTCTACCAAAGTACTTGGAACGTGTACTGTAGTCGGCGCTGCCTTCGCGGAGCGCTCCTGAGAAGGTGAAATGGAGTGATGATCAAAGGAGTCTTTTGGTACGAGGTAAAATTTTGAGAGGAGTGAGAGAGATCTTTAAAGGGAGGCTGCGAGACTCCTAAGGGAGAATGCGTTACGATACCTGCTGTACCGTGGGAAACGTTGCTCAGGGTTAAAAGCGAGTTTCTCCAGGGTGGATTAGCCGCCTCCAGACCCGACAAAGACTCCCTTGTTCCCGAGTGGTTCGGCAGAGAGCAAGTAGTCGCTTCTCCGAAAGTACAAGTTAATCATTTCCGTACTAAGAATCTGCACTCAGGGCGCTTGAAGAGTTTTCGTTAGAAAACAAAAGATGAATTACGGGTTTCTTGAAAATGTTGAAATCTACCTTTCCGAAAAACCCCTTTGGCATCCACTGGTACCTGCCCTGTTTTCGAACGGACGCACAACGCCTCACCGTATTACCATATTACCACATCGCCGTCTTACCATGTTAACTTATTAACATAGAACCGTACCACCATAGTCCAAGAAGCGTTGCGCCAGTCGGCGTGAAACTATCCTATGGCTTCCATCGGCAAACAGCTGAGGCTTCCCTGACCAGGAATTCTAGCCTGGGGGAAATCTAGGGTGTCTGGGGTCGCATGGGGTCTCGAAAGTTTAGCCCGAGACGAAGAGCCAACAACCCCCATAAGACGCGCAAGGACCCGGAGAGTCTGGCCAGCCGACTCAGGTATCAGTGAAGGCCAGTCGCGTCTTCGAGCTTCGTCCGATGCGTTTAGCTGTGGATTTTGGGGAATGTGAAAATCGAGAAACAAAATTGGGAAACAAGGGAGGAAGAAGAAATGGAAACTGGACAAGGATAAGAGAGAGTATATATGGCTCGAGGATAAGCTGTGAAAATATTGCACAATGCTTCTCCCCCCCCCCCCCC